GGGGGCGGTGGGGGGGGGGGGGGTAGAATCTCGGAGACACCTTTTTTTTTTCTTTCCTATTTCTGCAACACAAAAATTCAGAGATTTGAGATAACAGAAGCAGCTTCCAGCTGGGACAAATTGGTGGGAGAAATGGGCAAGCAATAATAAAAAGCCAAATGAAGCACAGCTTGACCCATGGTTCCTGCAGCTTCCATGACTGCAGGAACGTAAATACCTTCCTCACCTGCTATCAAGAACTTGTACGTGGGGCATGCATCTGATTTTTCATACTTACAAGGAAAAAGCATGCTGTAATAAAGTCACATCAGACTGAGACTGGGTTAAGTGCAGAGTTCATCAGTGACAAAACTAGGAGTAGCTTAAGTAGGTCCTCCCTGACGAAAACAACCTATTACACAAAGTACTGTGAATTCTGCACGTGCCACACGCTACAGGAAAGGGACCTGAACACCGCTCCGTTGACTAGGTACTAGTCTTCATATTCCTCACGCACATCTTTTAAGCAGCGTCACATACACAGAGCCTGCTTGTACAGCACTGAGATGAACCCAACCACAACCCAACAAAGGTACACCCAAAATTAGAGCTAAGTGCCGAGTGCTCCATCGGGAAACTGGGAGAGAAACCTCTTTTCTGTTGCTAACACCCCTGCCTTTTCTAGCCCTGCAAGACCATAGGAAAATACCAAAGATGGGGCATATTTAGCACCAAGAAGGGAGCCATGCCAAGCCGCATAAGGGAAAAATTAACCTTTGCAGTAGGATAGAGGTCATAATGCTTTGTTTCTTAAAGGTACATTTAAAAAAAAACAAAACCTTTTAACTTGAAACTTTCTGGAGTGGGGACATCACTGGACTGAATTTTGGGAAGATGGGTTACTGGGCAAAGGTCAGGAGATGCAACCAGAATTCAGGCTAATATGATCCATCACATAGAAAACTCCACATACATATTATGTGGGTTTTGTGCATGATACACATAAACCAAAACACCAGTATGGAGGTATAATCTGCATGATTAACTCTACAAAGTTTGCAGAAATCCCCCTTTTGTAATTTACAAAGCTTCATTTGAGTGGCTGTAGAATACAGTTTATTAATTCTGGTTATTTTCAAAGGGAGTTTTCCATAAACGCTTCATAGAATTACCTCTCTTCAGAGATGGCCAATTTCTAAGCCTGTGAAGGTTGACAGTGCTATCTGATATTCCTTCTTTTACCATTCTGTTCTGTTAGCATGGGCATATTCTCTGTCACTGCAACAAAAGAAAAAATAGAAAGAGAAAACACACACTGTTGCAACGTTATACTATTGATGGCACCCCCATCAGAGATCACTAATATTCATCAGAAAATACCATATTTACTCCTATAAGAGGCCCCAAAACAAAAGTAGCAGTTTGCAAGCTCACCTATAGCAAGCGACAGGTGACTACACTGTCAGAGCTGACAGGTATACTGGCTGCACATTAGCTTTGGACAGCAAAATACGATGAGAAGGCGAAGATGCAAGAGGAAATGCAACCATCAGGTAAGCAAATACTAAGTTCTTTTTAAACAAATCTTTTCTACAGAACTGAAACAGGTTACATTTTCCACGCAAAGAAAAATTTCCTCAGTCGAGAAAAATTAAGAGACAACAGTGCATGCATCGCACTGGACAATGTTAATGGGAAATGCATAAACCCACCGGTATGCAGAGATGGCAAAAGATGGCAAAGGGCTGTCTTCAAAGAAAGCATGTTCCCAAGAGGTGACTTTGAAGGCAACTTCAAGGCTCACTTCGCTGAGATCTGTGCATGGGGAAAAGTTGGTACTCAACCGGTCCAAGCCCAGGGCCCAGTCCAGTGTGCTCTGCCATGACAAATGAGTTCCAGCTGGTCTCGCCTAAAGGCTTCTCGGCCAAATAATCCTCATTTAGGCAACAGCACAGCATCTGTGTGGGCACACACGTTCTCTGACTTAAAAGCTCATGTCTGAAGGACAACAAAAGTCACTGAAGACCAAACCCAACATTTTCTGGTTTTGTCTTCTGTTTGGTTGTGGGTTTTTTTTTTTTTAACAAAGAATTATGCAAAAATCTTTTCACAGCTTTTATTCCCAGGAACCAGACATGACAAAGAGCCTAGCTGACTGACAGCCACACAGTCATCTCCTAAACAACAAAGAATTATGTTCATAGGTTGTTTGCAAAAATCTAATTTCACAGCTTTTATTCCCAGGAACCAGACATGACAAAGAGCCTAGCTGACTGACAGCCACCTAGTCATCTCCTAAACACCTGTCCTGTGAGTCTGAGTGGAAAAAAAAATAAGCGAATCCCATCATACAATCTCTATCTCTCCCTTCAAGTAACACGTAAATTAAAAGGCAGCTTTACTCTGCATTACCAGCGTGACTCAGACCAGAAAACAATTCCAGAGACAGATGAGGCTGCATATTCAGACTAACAGTTACACAAACATGTTCTAAACTAGAATAAAACCAAATTACCTTATGAAGAAAATAACCTACGCTGAGGCCCATAAAACACACACACAGACACGCATACTGTTTTGGCATTAAAACTCTGCATAGATCAAAGATGCACTTCAGTTATCAGAGCCCCCGGTGTACAGAAGTCCTGCAGAAATCCAGCCTCCAGCCACGGGACCAGGCACTAGGGCACGGTACTCCTCCACAGCGCGCTCAGGGCACTCAGTGGCTGCTGCCCGTAACCAAGCACAAGGCTTAAGAAAATAGAAAAAAGTGAAAGATCTTAAAGTCAAAAGGTCTATGACACCCACACATACACATATATATATTAGAAACTATTCAAGCTAAGACTCTAAAGGTTCTTATTTTAAGTCCATTTCCGAAATGCATTTTAAGTGCAAGTTGTGCTTTTTCATGTGCTTGTGATGCCACTATCACCGTTTGTCAACTGCCTTCCAGCGCTGCGTGCGCTTCCACACAGAAACAGCCAGGGAAGAAATACCCCACATGCCGTTTTACAGGCAGGTGACATTTTCCAACTACTCTTAAGACCAGCATGGCAAAACTAGGGCTTACAGACACTTAGTTAATATGCAAGTCATCTTTACCCATGAGCATAGTTCTGCTGGCGTCAACCGGATGACATGCACGGAGGAGGGTTTCCGCAACAGGGCCCAGAGCAAAACAGTTTGCAGTGAGAATAGCCGGTGCTCCCACGTCACTGCCAGAGACGCCACAGAAGCCAGCACCACTGCCACAAGCGCTCTCGGTACTGCTGCGGAAACTGCGCGGGGGGGGTTACAGCTACACAAAGGCCCCTTCACTTCAACAGGATGGATCTCCAGGACTGAACTTCAGTATCTAAAGGATGAAACGGAGAGCGAAAAGCACAACAGTCTCACGTATTTTAACAGCACTGCAGGGGAGAAAACCCACCTTGCATTTTTAAACAATTTATTGCATAATGTCATGATATGTGACTAAACACATTTCAGCCTACAGTGAGGACAAAAATCTCTAAAACCATAAGTACTGGTGATACTGCATTATGAAAAGGAAAAGAATGGCAGCACTTAGAATCAATACAAATTAACACATCTGGGATTTTGTTTTGTCATTTACGAAACAAATAGTCTACGCTGCAAAATAGCTAAACCCTAAGTGATGGAAAATGCTGGGATTTCATATTTGCCTTCTTCCATCCAAAAGTCTCCAAGACACTTCACTGATGCACTGTTATTTGAATGCAAATTATTGCAAAGACAAGTTAAGTGTCCCTGTATTTGTTGATTTGTAAAATTCAAGAGATGTTAGGCTAAGTCCTGTCCCCTTTTTCTAGCAAACCCGGGGGGAGGGGGGCAAACTCCTCCAGATTACTTCTGGGGCTCTATCATTATTCCACAGGTGAGAAGACAACATATAGAAGAACTTCACATAAAACAGTTCCCTCATATATATTTTTTTAAAACATTAAGATAGTGCAACTTTTTAAAACACATTTATCACAACACAAATTAAATTCCTTGCATTCATCTAAGTTCTCAACTTTATACCTTGGCACACAAAACAGGAATTTTGTTTCATATTAAAAAAAAATCCACACTCTGGGAGGAAAAAAAAAAAGCAAACTGGCCAATTCTTCCCCCATTTATCTAGCAAAACCGCCTTCTTCCTTCTGCCATTCAGTGAGTATGAAACAGGCTGTACAAGCCTCATTTCTGTGCTAAGTTAACTTTTAGAATTAAATAATTGAAATAGTTTATTAAAAAAAAAATAATATATCCCCCCCTCTCCCCTGAAACACTGCTCGTAGACAAACTGAATGGAAGTTTGTGTTTCTTTCAATCTGCTTTGCATGCAATTCCCCTGAAAGGAATCAGAAACAAAGAACTGGTTTGCACGTTTGGTTTTACTAAGTTGTACCACGTGAAACGTAACAACATTGTGCACCGGAGCATGGGGGTCTTCCTCCACCGCTCTGTTTGAATCTCTTGTCTTCAGTTCAAATGCACCTGGGCGAGTAACTTAGACCAGGTTTCCTGGTTTCCGGTCTTGGCCTTTGCTGGGGACTATTGTGCTCTCCGAATTGTTCTGCTGAAACTGAAGTCTGCTCCCCCTCTGCGAGGAAGGAGGCGCGTTGCTGTGCTGGTGATGGAAAAAAGAGGAGCCTGGGTAATGACCCATGACCTCGCTGTACGTCGGGGGTGGTCCTTCCATCCTTCCATTACTGCTATAGTTGGTTGCACTTATGCCCGAATTGCTGCTTGGTGGGCAGGGGCCCCCATTGTACATCGAGATGTCTATCAAGTCGCTATCGAAAATGGTTCGGTTGGGTGGTGCCCTGACAGATTCCCGGTTGAGCTCCATCTGCTGCTCTGGGTCCCGGAGCTGCAGGGTGCACGGGCCTTGGTACGGTGGTGGCTCTTCCCCGTCAGAGAGGGAGATGGTCGGAGGAAGGTCAATCTCATGCTGCATGTAAGGGTAAGTGGGCTGGAAGCGACTGAAACGGTCCCGCTGCATAAAAGATGGGGCGGTAAACCTGTCCCTGGACCTTGGAGCATACATGATCTGAAATGGGAAGAGAGACACACGTGACTCCATGTCTGAGCAAAGCACTGTGGGTGCTCCGTATTTACGAAGGACCGATAAAACAGAAAATACTTCTCTTTGCCACCTATCCTAAAAGATTAAACCCAGCAGATATTTTGCACTTGTGCTCCCACACACGTGCATGTGAAAAGAAGAGGCAGGAGTTGCAGGAAGGATCTAACACAAGATACTTGAGAACAGCTTCACGAAGGAAGACCAAGACCTCACACACAGCTCCTTCTGACATTAAAACACGCAGAGCCGAGAGAAAACAATTCTGTTTCTGTACGTAGGAAACACTTTTTCTCTAGTCTTGACAATTAACTAGTTCTACAAAAACATCCCAATACTGAATTTCAGCTGCAGCCTGAGCCTCCCCCTCCTACTCAGAGTTAATGTAATAGCCTGCATCACCAAAGAATTCAGATGGTCATTTTAGTACATTTTATAAAGGCCTGGCATATCTCACGCCTTCACTACCAGAGTGTATCAGGTGTCCTCCTCCCCCTCAGTTCTCAGCCAGAACTCAGCCTCTGGGGAGGCTTCTGCACTGAAAGTGGAAAAAATGTCCCCGGCATATTAAGCCCTGGAGAAGGTCAGGCTTTACAAGAGGAAGAGTTCAAGACACTCTGTGAGAAGCTATTGCTCCTCACTTGGTCTATCCCAGATCTAGAGAGACATACCAGCTTCTTAGATCTAGATCTATCAAACTGCTCTTCCATTTTTGGGTCCATGCAGGGTCTTTAGCCCCCGACCTTCATAGATGCAAGGTTAGCCACCAGGAAGATTCTGTTTGACACAGGTAACCTGGGCCACTTGGAGCAACACACCCACAAATTATCACTCAGACCAGGGATCTGTGCTAGTCGGAAGGCAGGAGACACTGGTGATAGGATATGTGTTATAAATCCAGGAAAAACACTGGGAGAAGAGCAACTGGTCTCGCAGATTCCACTGAATACTCAAATTACCGAGCCACTGCATGAGAGACACCTCCTCCACTTACCTGTGAATGCCTACTATGATACAGGGAGCTGCGGATGGAGATGAGGTGTCAGGTAGGTAGAATTTCTTTTTTTTAATTAAAAAGTCTTAAGCATTTATGGAACGGGAGTTAAGGCAGGCTCAGATGTCCACATGAACCTGGCTCTTTGTCTACACTGAAAAAGCTTTATTTACTAAATAGATGCGTGTTTTTGAGAGGACCCAAATATACATAACAAGAAAGAGGAAAGCACATTGGCGAAGATAGTAAGAAATCTGTCTGTACCTCTGAAGCACCCTGGCGCGAAACCGAGCTTTCTGAAGGCCACAAGCACCCTTCCTGGAATGTAGAAAAACACAACAAAAGAGAAAAATTAATAGATCACATCACCATCCTACCTCAAATACCATGATTTTTAGGAGCAGTCAGCTTCTAAGGACTGGCTGTCTCCACCTAGAGAAAGGTGATAAACAAGTTACGTCCCACCCCTTGCTTTCCAAAACTAGAGCAAACAGCAGTTCTGCACCCAAGCAAGTCAAGCTTGGTCCATTTTGCAAGTGCCAAGACACCAGCCACAGCACCCAGCCTCACAGGCCATAAGGACGCAGCAAGCCCGTTGCAGCTACAAGCACATGGCACATGCAGAGGTGACAAGAGACATTTCAGCACTTGTGTGCTGAGCGGGTACCCTTCACCTCCCAACCTGTGACAAGGCCACGTCGGCACAGTCGGCAGGTCTGATGAAGCTGACCTGCCAGCCAGGATCCCGATTACACACCAGAGCCAAAACAGTTCGCAATGAAACCTGGTGTCTGTAATCTCAGTGAAGTAACAGTCACTCTAAACCCAGGTATATTCTGGCCAAAACTGTCACTTGCCCAATTCCCACCATAAACAGTAATTAAGCAGCTGAGGTTTCAGCCACCAGCTCCCCTCTACAACAACTTCCCCAACCACATTCTCAGGTCGAAGTATTTTCTTTCTCATGCTGTGCTGGTTTTGGCTGGGGTAGAGTTAATTTTCTTCATAATAGCTAGTATGGGGCTATGTTTTGGATTTGTGCTGAGAATAATATTGATAACACAGGGATGTTTTAGTTGCTGCTGAGCAGTGCTTACACAGAGTCAAGGCCTTTTCTGCTTCTCACACCACCCCACCAGCGAGTAGGCTGGGGGTGCACAAGAAGCTGGGAGGGGACACGGCTGGGACAGCTGACCCCAAATGACCAAAGGGATATTCCACACCATGTGACGTCATGCTCAGCATATAAAGCTGGGGGAAGAAGAAGGAAGG